TGGGGCAGGGGGGTGGCTTGAACATTTTGGGGATTGGGGTGAAGGTGGAGGAAAGGTTGTGTGTGAGTGCAAAGGGTTAAAAGTCGTTTCCTCCACGTCTGCCTGTCTGTCTGTCTCTCCCTCTCCCAATCTCTAAAGTCAAAGTTAGGGAGATGACTGGTAAGGGTACCCTGAGGTTATCAGTCTTTGGAGCTGATAACCAGTCTCTCCAAAGGCAGAGAGCCTGCAGTCCAGGACAGTAACCAGGCTGTCTTGGATTTAAGGGAGACCCTAGTTTCTCACTCTTAGTCAGAATGTCTGGACCCAAAGGACAGACACTCTGGGCTCTCTAGGGTCCCCATGGCCCACTCTCACAGAGCTAGCCCAAGGGCCACTACCCCAACTTTTCTGTACTTCTCCCCAGTTGTAGAGAAGACAGGAAGCCCAAGAAGAAGAAAAAATAGTGCTCAAAAGGAGAAGGGCATGTAGATTAGGAGTCTCTGAGAGTCCAGAAGACCCCAGCCAGGCTCCCCTCCAATCAAGGGCTTGTGGGGTCTCCCTGGGACCTACAGACTCTCTCAGGCCATGAGCCCCTCTAAGGGTGGCCCCTCATGGCCCAATTTCGAAGTACAGGGGGAAGTGATAAAGCGACAAGTTCCGGCAGGGATGGCCCGGTGATTTATTTGCTGGTCTCCAGCTAGCAATCAGGCAGAGCACTGATACATTCCAGGAGATCAATTATTTTTCTTATTGGAAAAGCATTAGACAGAGAGAGGAAGAAGGAGGGGGCAGTGGGCAGAGCCCTCTCCTTTACCCCCAACCCTTTTTTCCTTTCTTTTAGAAACAGATTCATCCCCAGCCCTGTTCATTAAATGCCATTCTGCACTTGTAAACAAAGCTGCAAGGGCCAGTTTCCTGAGATTGAAGGCCTGGGACACTCTGCAGGGCTTCCTGGGCCCCATCAAGCCCCCAGTGTTCAGACAGCCCTAGTCTGGGTCCCTACTCTCAACCCACCTCCCCAGGTGAAACCAAACCAAAACAATCCCCCAAACTTTCCTGCCCTTGCTCGCCTTAGGCTTCTACCTCCTGAGGAGGGAAGAACTGGGCGGGGGGACCAGAAGGGGAACTTTAGGGGAGGCAGAATGGCAGGAGGAAACCAGCCCTCACCCAGACATAACCAGACTGGGGTTCTGTTCTGTCCAGCTCCGGGGCGGCGCAGCGGAAGGCAAACTTACAGCCGATATCAGACCTTGGAACTAGAAAAGGAGTTTCTCTTTAATCCTTATTTGACACGAAAGCGCCGGATTGAGGTCTCTCATGCCCTGGGACTGACGGAGAGACAAGTGAAGATCTGGTTCCAGAACCGAAGGATGAAGTGGAAAAAGGAGAACAACAAGGATAAACTGCCTGGGGCTCGAGACGAGGAGAAGGTAGAGGAAGAAGGAAACGAGGAAGAGGAGAAAGAAGAGGAGGAAAAGGAAGAAAACAAGGACTGAGCAAAAAAGAGATCCCCCCTTTAGCAACTCCCTTGAAGTTTCGTTTTATGGTAGCAGATAAATTGAGAAGTTTACGACTGTCATTTGCTTTTATAGAGAATAGAATGACACTCACAACCCTAACTACCTGTCAGATACTTGCGGCTCTGGTTTTATTACCTTTGGACTTCCCTTGCTCTTTATTTGTTTGGGGGCTGGAAGGGGGAGACTGAGACACAGAAAAGTTCGGACCCTGTCCCACTCCTTGCCCCAACACACACTTGTCCCTATTCCCATCTTCTGAGTCCTTTCTGGATGTTAAGGTCTGAGATGTGGCTTCCTCACCCTTCTCTGCCACTTGCCACTCTGCTCCCGCCTTCCTGTTTCTCTGGTATTTATTTTAGAGGGAAACCCCCTCCCTCAAAATGCAAAGAGGACTCCTGACTTTGCTTTTATGCTAGGATTCATGCACTACATTTATTTAAAAAAAGAAAGGGAAGAAATAAGGAAAAGATAGCAAAGAATATCCCCTCCCCCTGTGAGGAGCTCCCAGTTTAGAAAACCCCCTCGACTTTCTCTAGGAACCTGATGGAAACCTTCCCCTTCCAAGGGGTGAATAGGGGCCTGCTGTCGCCTCTAAAATCCTACCTAGCCATCCCATGGTCACTTGGGCCCACGCCTTTCTTGCCTTTCTCGCCTTCACTGTTTGCTGTTTGATTTCTATTCTTTTGGGCCCGGCTTCCTCTGAGCTGCATTAGTGTTAGCTCTCAGAAGCCACCATAATCATGAAAATAATAATGATGATGATGATGATGATAAATCTCTAGCATACTACCTAAAGGGAACCTGCAATAATCTTGGAAAAGAAAAAGAGAAAAAAAAATTAAATCCTACTGTAGGAGAAAAAAAGAGAAAAAATTAAAAACGAAAAAAAGGAAGAAAAGAATGAAACCTCCAACGTATTTTATCACTACCTATAGAAAGAAATCCTGCTTTGAGAGTATTTGTAATGCAGTTTTGTTGTCGTTTGTTGCTGCTTATTTCACTAAGAAAAACCCAACAACTGAGACTGCCTAGCCCAGCCCGCCGGTCCTGTGCGCTTTTATTGTGCTTATAACCCCAGTAGAGTAGAACTAAATTGCACTGAATGTATAGTTAACTCTGTCTTGAATTCTCTGTTTATGCAATGTGCTTGAAAGAAAAAAACGTTAAAAATATATCTATAATAATAATTTTTGGTCATTTGTCTTTATGTCCAGCTATGAATGTAGATTTTGTGTCCTGACAGCCCTGTTCCTGGTCCAAGTACTTTGTATTGTATACGTGAGTCATAATAAAAAAAAAAAAAGGAGAAAAATATTTGAAGATGGAATGACTTGCTTTTTTTCCACAGCTTTCCCCCATTCTTTCCCCCCTCCCTCCTCACCCCTTTCCCAACTTTCTGGAAAAGATCTCCACAGATCTGGCTTTGGGGTGGGGGAACTCATGTAGGAGCAGCCTGGTAGTAGAGAGGACAGGCTAGTCTGGGAGGGCAGGTGACAGGAGCAGGGATTGAGAAGAAGGGGGAGAACAGGGCTTTGGCAGAAAGGAGGATTATACCAGTATGCTCTTGGGGAAACCTTGGCTCCAAACAAAGTGGGTTTCTAGGTACTAGGACCCCAATAGGAAGGAAGATCTCATTTATCCACCTCCTCCTCAGCTCCGGGCTGGGCCCAGACAAAGAATCTCCCCCATGCTCCTCCAAAGCTACGCCTTTTTCTTCCAGGGACAAGGGCTGAGGCTAAGGCTGAGGAAATGGGGTTCTGTCCGCTCTTCACTTGCCCTTTGTGGCCAGCTCCTGACACCCAGTACCTAGCACTGGAATAGTGAACAGGGTAGGTGAGAGTGAGAGGCTCAAGGCAGCTGACCTGCCAGGAAAGCTTGGCTGAAGATGAAGATGCCTAATGAGAAGAGCTGCTAAGTGGTGGGGCTGAAGAGGCTTCACCCTGGGGGACAGAGGAGAAAGAGAAATGGTGAGCCTGACTAACCAGCCTGGGCCCACCTCTTGGAATTCAGATTGTCAGCACAAGGCTTCATCACTGCCACTCAGCTTCCTTGTGTCCACTCCAGCCTCCTTGCTGACTGGTTCAAGCCTACTGTAGGCTTCTTCACTTTGGCAATTGGGCAGCTTGCCTGGCCCCCCTTAGTATAGGCCACTGGCTTGGGGGGATGGGCCTCCTGAGTAGACCTCCCCCACTACAGCCACAGCAGGGTAAAGGGAATCTCCATTGGAATGTCATTCCCTTAAAAACAGTTGAAGGTTCAGGGACCCAGAGGGCAAAGGGGTCTCTCACTTCTCTCTGGAAATCCTACACAGAGAACTCTGTTTATGCCAATAAGATTCTGGTCAAATAATCTCAAATTCCAGAGATACAAATCTTCTGACTCAGCCAGCACAGTGGGGAAAGGGAAGAGGAGGGGATCTTCTGGTCTCCAAAACCAGACCCCTATTCATCTCTCTCTCTCTCTCTCTCTCTCTCTCTCTCTCTCTCTCTCTCTCTCT